ATATATATATATATATATATATGTATATACATGGCAGTAGCGACTTTGTTTCTTTTTCCTCATCCGTTTATCTTTTTCCGCCAAAGCATGATTGGACGAAATTTTCGGGGTATCCATTTTCATGGAGCAGATTGGACAAATGTATTTTTGTTCTTGATGCCAGAGGAGTTTTGTGCTGCACCGCGCGTTCGCACGATGGAACAAAGTGCACAGCTTCTCACGCGGCACGTGCGATGATTGCTGTCGTTATACAGCACCTGATCGACTGTCCTCAGTTTGAGGTCTGGCTTTTGTACGATGAGGATGTCTAGGAAAAGGAATCCATACGTCGCTTTTCTTCTTCTTGGTGAATGCTATATATATACCCTTAATCATTTGCTACGTCACACCTCTCAGAAGACCTATTTATCAAAATCTTCCCACTTTTTGGAAAACCCAAATCAACCCTCAATGTGTTGCTGTTCCTGATACCTGGTGACACCTGATGTTCGGGACGGCTATGGACCAATCAATCTGCAATGTCGCACTCAGCCAATGGCCTTTCACCTAGAGTGACGCGAAGATGACACTGTTCGCTGATTAGATAATCTTTGTGGGGAAGAGACACCGATGTCAACAAACGAATACTGTCACTTGATTTCAAAATGTGTGACCGCCTACCGATCAGAACGTGTTGGAATTCCTGTATCAGCCAAGTGCAACTCAGAGCACCATAGCTGAGTCACTTGATATTTCAAGAAACCTCCTATCGAACCACTATCGGATAATCTGTGAACACTGCAGCCTTTCAAGAAACATGCCACCTAAAAACCAACGAAAAATAAAGACAGTGAATAAGAAGACCTTGGCTTGAGTTACTGCTGAGGGAAAGCACGGTTAGTTCCCCATGGTCGAGAGAATCATTTGTAAGGTAATCCAGCTAGCACAGAGAATCGTGAACTCTAGGCTCCTAGAAGATGATTTCGCTCTTGGTCAGACAGATGGGTTTTTCACTCCTACAAAGTGAAAGACAAGCAATTACTTGTGTGCATAGAATTACAGAGTTGTGGGGTGTTTAGCTGTACCAGGTGATGCAGTGGACGAGCTTCGAGCAGGGTTGCTGCAGTTTATTCATGGATACACCGACTGAGATATTTTCAGTACAGATAAAATAACCTCTTATTGCAAGCAACTCCCAAAAAGAACACTGAGTCTCCAAGGAAGAACAGTTTCTAAGTCCCAGAAATTAAAATAGAGCCGCGTTACTACTTTGTTAGAGCATGATCGGAGAAAGGTCATCACCGTTGGCTATTGGAAAATTTCAACCGTCAGTGCTGACGATGTCACCTCGGCTGGTGATGAAAAGTTTGCAAGCAAATCGCCAAGCTCGGCGAACAGGCGAAATGGAATGTGATTTAGTCTTTCAAATATTCGTTCCGGAAACAGTTGATGGAATATGTTTTATCTTGATTGAAGATGGGCAACGTAGCATGAAATCCGAAGTGCACGTCATCATGGGCATGTATGGGGTCCAGAAAGCTTGGGTGTCTGTTCATCCGCATGCATTGATCGAATCTCTCATAAAAGCTGAGTTCAAATCCACCTTCAAAGTCAAAATCAGGCGATAATACCAGAGGATAAATGCGATCTGATTGAAGACTCTACTCACCGTATCTATGGATGAACGTCTTTTTGGAGAAGGAATCACCTGTTTTGAATCACGTTAGGCGTCGCAAAGAAGATGAATATGAAGCAGTGAACGCGCCGGAAGTTATCTCCGAGAAGCACAGAAGTTACTGGATCAATTGAAGCTGTTTCCCTAGGCTAATACTCGGATTTCCGGTCGACTACCGTAGTGTACAATTGATTTAAACAACATGCTTGCTGATTTCCAAAGGAGAGCGTGGCTGAGACAAAGGACAATTTAAAATACATCTTTGTGGTTTGGGAAGTTTTCCCCCACAATTCTGTGGGACGTCCGAATGCGGTTGTAGTGGTCACTAAAGCCACGGCCAATCGGTCTATCGATGGGTTCTGTCGCACTAACGTGTAAACGAATGAACGACAACCGCGATTGACTGGCGAGCGGGTGTGTGGAGTAAGATGTCAGATCCAAGGGATCAACGAACGCCGTCGCTCGGAGGCGTTCATGTGAATGAACGAACGCTAATTGCACTCGTCCTTGCTTGAGAACCGTTGAAATCAGACAGGTCATTGATCAAAGGTCATCATAACCTAACTGTTTGAACGATGCACTTAAAATTTGTGAATCATGTGTTGAACTGTAATCTTCAGGATTGAGGGCAGAGTGCCCGTGTAATCCTCATCACCACTGGGTCGAAGGTCCGATCACACGTGTTCGTTCCTCTATAGCCCCTTCAGGTGCTCATCCAGACGCCATTTGAAAGCAGGGTCTGTCTTCTCTTCCACCACAATCGCTGGAAGGGTATTCCAGAGTGTTGTTGACCTACGCGAGAGTCGGTAGACTAACGGAAAACCAACTGACTG